ACAAACGCATAAATAAAAAATCAATATACCCTCTTCCCGTTTATGCATCCCTCCTTGTTTCTTCGCGCCCTTTTATCGCTTCCCGTCTCTTTCTCCCTCTCTCTCTCTCTCTCCCTCTCTCTCTCTCTCTCTCTCGTCATCTCGAAATCTTTCGTCTCCGCATTCTCGAGACTCTCCTCTCTTCCTTCACGTTCTGTTTCGCGCCCAATTTGCGGCCCATCATCGCTAGGGAAGAAGCAATTTCTAACTTAAATGAAACTCCCTCTTGCTCGCGTTCGCCTACCCCCGGTCGATCGACAGGAGACGCCGGTCTTGCGTTTCAGCGAACGAGGGTAGCGCGAACAGAGAGTGCGGAGGGAAGGTGCGCTGAAAACTCTTCTCTATCGTAGCGAACGGGGCTACCCCGTAGTTACCTCGGTCGCTCCGAGACCACTTACACGCAACTACCAATATTCCCGACAAGATTATGACGCGAAGCACCCTGCAACTATACATGCAACTTGATACATCCTTACATCAAAATTATCCATGCGATCGAATATTATAAACGCCATCCCCTCGAAATTTGCTATAAAAATGTCACAAGAATCGATGATAATAAAATATAAATACTTTGTAAAGTAACAAAAAAGTTGGAGAATTTTAATTAATTAAGAACATGCAATAGGTTGACGCGATTCTATAAATGATAAAGTATATCTTATTTCATAAAATCGTATAATTGTTGATTTTCGTAATGCACGATCCTATGTCGCATGTTATTATCAACAGAGAGGAACACGTACATAGCTGATAGTATTAACACAATACATGGATTATCTAGTGTTCACTGAGGTACATTATCCCGAAGTATCACTAAACCGCTTACAGGCTAGATATTACAATCCTGCCAAGATCATCGCGCAAACTTGCGGGAAACTGCAGCTGCAAATACTCTATCCTCAGCGTCAAATCATTGCAGCGGGTGATCGTGCGGGACGAGCGGCGCATTTCGAACTTTTCTTTTCCCTAGCCGTGCCGCAGAGCTACTTGCCACGAGGAGCTAGTTAACAGTTTGTTACGTCCCCTGTCACTATCACGATGCAAAACTGGAACTCCCGCTAACTAGCTTCTTGCGGTACCGCTATCGCGATTATCGTTTGTCGTCCATTCAGCGTATTATCTATTACATCGTCGGTAAGCAATTCGATGGAATCTATTTTACGCTGTTTCGCGCAATTTGTACGAGACTAGAGATGCGCGACGCAAAACTTTTATCTGTTTCCTATGCGCGATACAGCGAGAGTTAATTCTATATCTATCTTCTTTTCGATCTTTCGAGTATTATATATTTATTGCGTATTTCAAGTGTCATGTCAACTACACGAGATTTTGTGAAACAAGACAGATTACCTATTGAAAGTGATTATCGTTTATTCTTCGTGCTTGTATCCTCAAGCTTTTTACTTCGATACTGATGCTGATAACTATATCGGCTCGTACGGGGGACAGAGTAATAAGGCCTGACAAAGAAGGTTAGCGGTGCTATCGCGTGGCTGGAAGTTGGCGAGATTGCCTGGTTGCCTCTCGATATGGCCTATGAGAGTGGAAGCGCGGCGAACTTCGATAATCTTCTCTGCAGCGAGCGGCCCAGGGCCCAAGTTTGGCAATCAATGCGAAGTAACAGTTTAATTAAATACGGGATAACCCTTCACCGACTCTCCGCGCACGTTTACCCGAAGACAGACTAATCTCGGCCGCGTCGTCTCAACGGCTCCGGCTGGATTCAACGAACGTGAGTGTTCGACGGATTCGCAAATCCGATCGTCGTCATCGTCGTCGTCGTCGCTCGCGTCCCACTAGCTCTCTCTCTTCATCCTTTGCTCTTTAGATCGCGGCACGTCCAACTTTGCAGTCGGTAAACAGCAATCGAACGAATATACGATTTTGGTCGAGATCGAGCTAAAATCAGTTCAGAAAGACCGCTTCCCTCCGACTATCAAAAGTTTCGCTGAATTCGCAGATTTCCGTAGATCTGGGTTATCGATAAGATAGAATATAAACACACGATTTTCCTCTTCCTCTTACTTATATCAATTTTAATGCGATCCGTTTGACCGACTCGGAAAATTTATCGATTATGCGCGTTTTTTGTAAGGAACTTTGTATGAAATTTGCATAAGTGAAAAGAATTATTTTGTTACATCGATTTTTATTTATGTCTTAAATGAAAATATTATTGATCAGATCTTTTTTTAGTACATGTATATGTGATATTTTTTCACTCATATAAAACTTAATACGAAACCGTAAATAACCAGCGCATATTTTTTTTGATTACCGAGAATGCTACGATTCGACATAAAATATATTTTCTCTCACGAATATTTATATATCAAACATAAGATTCACGTAATAAGGGAAGCGCATGTTATACGCTCGTGTCGTAATGTAAGTATTTGTGAATTGATGATGATCAGGTTTTAACACGCGCGGGCATTCCGGGATATTTTAATATGTTGAGCGGATCGCGGAGAAATTCTACATCGGTGACAAAGTATCCTTACGTGAGTCCATTACCGGAAGCGTCTCTCAGGCTAGAATGTTATTGATACGTAGACGAGAGTTCGCGCGCAGGGACGATCGAGGTTTCCTTCGAGAGCATTATATCCGTGGTGAACGCGCTCCTCATCCATTTTCCATTCTGTTTTCCGTTTTTCTTCCCACGAGCGCCATGTTTATGTATGTCCGGCTGATTACCAAAAGCGGGGATGTGCGACTGTTCGTCTCCTACGCCTGGCGGCGACAATAGCGATGTATTCGAGGGTCACGCTCGAGAATACTCGTTTCTCTCTCATATTCGATCATCTTCCTTCCTCTTCTCTCCTCATTTTCTTATCCTCTCCTCTGCTCGCAACGATCCCCGCTACGCACGCTCCCCCCGATGCCACGAGCAAGTTTTATACCCGAGAGACATCTCCTTTCCACGCCTGATTTCGATTCTCAAAACTTTCTCTTCGCGGTCTTTCGTTCGATCGCGTCCTTATGCGTCCCCGGGTCCCCCGCTATCCTTCCCTACGCTGCTTCCGGAACCCCTTGAGTCCCTTCTTCGCTTGTTTACGAATTACCGGACTCATTTCCATCCCTCTGTCGTCTTTCGCTCTCGCTCGGAATCTCGTTCGAGCATATCGGGAGAAAATCAACTTGTCCCGTGTGTTCTGTAGTAAATGGATCGCCACGAGGCAGAAGATCCGCAAGGCATTCGGGCAATAAAGAACCTCTGTTGTCGGGTCTTTATAGTACTCTTTGCCTTAGTTCGCAAGGGAACCATTACCGCTATTACTTCAGCGAGTTCCTGACATTTTGCAGCAGCCAATGCGTATAGATGCATTTTCCGCGATCATTCACATTAGAAAATATATATATATATTATAGGCTATTTGACGTTGTAAGGATATAAAATATTATGAAAAATACACACAAAGAAAATTATTTTCTATTATTATTCGAAATATACACATAATTATGAATGCAACATCTTGTGCATCGAAATTGCGTTCTTAATATCCGTATTATCCGTAATCCATCAACAAGAACGATATCATAACTGCTATCGGAATAGATTACACCCATGGATGCGTTTATTAGCTTGAATATTACTCGAGAAGTACTCTCTCTCGATACGTAGACGAGAGTTCGCGCGCAGGGACGATCGAGGTTTCCTTCGAGAGCATTATATCCGTGGTGAACGCGCTCCTCATCCATTTTCCATTCTGTTTTCCGTTTTTCTTCCCACGAGCGCCATGTTTATGTATGTCCGGCTGATTACCAAAAGCGGGGATGTGCGACTGTTCGTCTCCTACGCCTGGCGGCGACAATAGCGATGTATTCGAGGGTCACGCTCGAGAATACTCGTTTCTCTCTCATATTCGATCATCTTCCTTCCTCTTCTCTCCTCATTTTCTTATCCTCTCCTCTGCTCGCAACGATCCCCGCTACGCACGCTCCCCCCGATGCCACGAGCAAGTTTTATACCCGAGAGACATCTCCTTTCCACGCCTGATTTCGATTCTCAAAACTTTCTCTTCGCGGTCTTTCGTTCGATCGCGTCCTTATGCGTCCCCGGGTCCCCCGCTATCCTTCCCTACGCTGCTTCCGGAACCCCTTGAGTCCCTTCTTCGCTTGTTTACGAATTACCGGACTCATTTCCATCCCTCTGTCGTCTTTCGCTCTCGCTCGGAATCTCGTTCGAGCATATCGGGAGAAAATCAACTTGTCCCGTGTGTTCTGTAGTAAATGGATCGCCACGAGGCAGAAGATCCGCAAGGCATTCGGGCAATAAAGAACCTCTGTTGTCGGGTCTTTATAGTACTCTTTGCCTTAGTTCGCAAGGGAACCATTACCGCTATTACTTCAGCGAGTTCCTGACATTTTGCAGCAGCCAATGCGTATAGATGCATTTTCCGCGATCATTCACATTAGAAAATATATATATATATTATAGGCTATTTGACGTTGTAAGGATATAAAATATTATGAAAAATACACACAAAGAAAATTATTTTCTATTATTATTCGAAATATACACATAATTATGAATGCAACATCTTGTGCATCGAAATTGCGTTCTTAATATCCGTATTATCCGTAATCCATCAACAAGAACGATATCATAACTGCTATCGGAATAGATTACACCCATGGATGCGTTTATTAGCTTGAATATTACTCGAGAAGTACTCTCTCTCTCTCTCTCTCTCTCTCTCTCTCTCTCTCTCTCTCTCTCTCGCATGAAAAGGTTTTATCGCTCACTCAATGAGATTGGCACTATAGTACATTCTCGATAATTATATTTATTGTGCCAAAATAAATTGCGACATTGGTTTCATTATTAGCAAAACGGAACAGAATTCCTGTATTTTTTTTTCATTATCAACAAACTACTGATAATCGCGAATTAAATATCATATTTTTATTTATTATAGCAACATCGAGAGACGATAAATCACGAATAAGTATATTTACTCACCGTTATGAACGAGCAGCGCAGAATCACGAGCGACAGTGATAAGGTCACTATCAGTAAGAGTTTCGTCAGATGCGTTACCGGAAGTCGGTGTGTCACTGAGGCCGGCACCACTGCCGGGCATATGATACAGGGGATGTTGCTGTTGTTGTTGTTGTTGATAGACGCGCTGCTTGTGCTGACTGGTATTGTAATGATTATGATGTGGCTGATTAGTTTGATGATTATTTTGCGGATAGGCGCGGCTACGCAAACTGGAGGTATTATCTTCACCCTCGCTGCCACTTAGACTGTAGGCCGGATAGAGCCGTCCCTTCCCTGAAACAATCAAATCGGAATTGTCACGGTCACTATATTTCTTTCAATTTAATTTTTAGTACAATTTTTTTTAATATCAATAGTAATAAATTGCAAACTTGTCAATCTTTAAAAACTTGTTTCAAAACTTTAATCGGAAATGATATTGCCAATACGTGAATATTAATTATTTTGATTAATGGATTTTAATTAAACTAAATATTAATATTAATATTGATAATTAATAGTCTAAATTGTCTTTTAATTAATAACCTCTATATATCATATTGTCTATTTTTCTGATCGCTTATAATGAATTGTATAGTATTTTTTTAACAAATGTATTATTTAAATATGTTGTAGAATTTTTCTGAAAATTGCTGTAAAAATAGCATTAATTAATTTCTGAATAATCGAAGATTTTGGAGAAAATAACAATTGAACAATAAATTAGATAATCTCTGTTAAATAAAAACTGCATTTTATTTAAGAAAACGATATAAAAACATAAAGAAATAAGAGCGAAAAGTTCGATATTGTATCTATAATATATGTACATCTATGACATGTGTCTCTTATAATTCTATCGTCGCGCTATCCTGCGTTGATCGCGTCGTTAAATGCGCCGAGATTTATGTAAATTCGAAAATCAACATAGACCCAATAAAGCTCGATAATCTGCTTGATAAGTCACACATGTCAGAGGGTGTCGATACAGATAAGCCACATAAACATAGGTCTCGCATCATCGTGTTCGAAAGCCCTTTTCCATGAAGCCCTTTACCGACCCTTCTTATCAGCGGATTACCTTATCCGAATTTTTTTTAATGACCTCTCACTTCTTTTCGGGTTAATAGAAATTTCAAGGGTCCCGGTCGTATCGCTCGTCTCTTTAAATTGGTTCGTTACAGATTTCGTTAAATTACAACACGCCTGTCATGAGAGAAATCTTATCTTTTGACCCTTGATCTTGAAATCGACATGCTTGAACTTTTATCTCGTTACACATAGAAATTTATTAATTTTTACTATTGAGATATAAGCGAACAGCTGCATAACACGACTGTATTTTTCACAACGGATCGTGTCGTAATTCTTGCTTACAAGAAACGAATGACCTTATTAATCTCTGTTGTAAAGGAAAATGATTACATCTGTGTAATACCATAATAACAACTTTGTTAAAAGAGTAATAAACGTAATTATATTTTCGCGACATTTTGAACCGTTATCAGTTTACGAATATAACTGTAAAGATGAACTTTGCGCGTTTGATATAAAAATAATCCATCATACTTCGCGCACCATTATTGATTTTAGCGTTGCGTCGGCGATCGCAAAAGTTACGCTTCTAACTCGTATATTTGTCACGCAAGTCGAACGGGCACATCGAGATCTTACGACATTATAGTTTCCGTCGGCGGCAATGTTAGTTCAATGATTCGTAGATAATAATGCTGCCTACGCGGATCGCCGTGCGAATGATTCATAGCACTAATAACGCGACGCGCGTTAATATTAATTGAGAATCGCGGCGCTTGGCCGATCGCATCAATTATGAGAATGGCGCGAAAGTAATGCGCCGAACAATTCGATTCGCGACCGTATAAATTCGTTTTGACCCTTGCATTATATACATGAGCGTGATAAATAACGCAGCGTGTAATTAACGTAGGACGGAATGAATGTTTATCTGTCTGTGCAGATGCCTTTATCACGCTTCTGGCACATATATATGCACCGCGCGTGTGTGTATAACGTCACATAAAAGCAACATTATGCGTTTCGTAAATTACGTTACCAATAGCGCAAGAGTGTTCTGCTGTATATATGCTTTTCCTATTCAAACTCGATACTCATTCTCGGCGGGTTAATAAATTAATAATGCGACGCATCTCTGTGATGCATTGGAATCACATAAAAAAGCGAGTGTGTTCCGAAAAGCTCGATCTTAATTTCGTGATTAGAGATGAAAAAAAAAAAAAAAACAAGTAACTATATTATAACTGAGAAATATAATCGTTCTTTACAGAAATTTCGAATTTGGATCATAATTTGAGTCGAAATCTCTTAAGGAGGAAGCAGAAGAATCACGGAAATTTTCAAAATCATATCCGATTGCAGAATGTGCAGCCACAGCGTTACTTATATTTAGTTTTTTCGGCATTGTTTACAATCCACGTGATGCAAACGGTTTACGCGGTTTTAGCTATCGAACTTGTTTTTTTTAATCCAGCACTTGCCGAACGACCGCAGGGGGTTGAACGTGAAAGAGAGAAAAAGAGAGGGCGAGAGAAAGAGAAGCTTGTGCTAAAAAAAAAAACTGCGTAGTTTAAAACAAACGCGCCTGCTCTCGCACGCATTCACGAGCGACCCATCGATCACTCGGTACACGTACATAGGGAATAATGGCGATCGGCCAAAATTTTACGGTATAACGTAAAAATTGTTTCGCAGTTTGTCAAGCGGTCGAGTCTTCCGGCAGTTCATTGTCTCACGTGTTCGCCTGGTATAAAATATGCATCGCTCGTAAGTAAAGAGTCATCGGGGCTATTTGGCCACCTGCAGACTCTGCGCGATTTACTTCGTGTATCTGCGTCTATATGGATGCTTAAATTTAATAAGATATCGGGATATATTTTTGCTCATTCAATGCCCGCTATATCGAGAAGAAGAGATCGTTCAATAATAGATAAATGAAGATCAATAAAATGCTATAAAACTATACGATAATATAATATAAATAGACATGACTTTTTTTATATAATTATATTGTAAATAAGATATTGCTGACACATTTTATTTATACACATGTATCAATTTTTATCAATTTGATAGAAAACATTAAAAATACGTACGATAAAAATATAATATCGAAAAAAAAGGCTTAAACTTTCAATGTATTGCCATTTTATAAAGATATTTTATGTATCTTGGCATTTTTTTCCGGGAAAACGGTCAATTTTATTTGTCGCCTTAAAGTGTCAGATCAGTTAATAAGTTACGATAACAAACCGTACAACCTGCGACGATATCTACGCTGCGATAATGCGGTAGTGACGACAATAATGATAGTAATAATCGTAACAACAATCTTTACGCTCGTAGCACGCGTTGAAACCTTGTGTCAATACGACGGACGTTAACTGGCGATGACAGGAAAGAGCCACGATTACAATTAGAAGTATAGTAGCCATAAAAAAGACTTTAACCGACATTTCCGACATAAAAGAATCACAAATTTTCACGTTTTATTTTGTTTTACAATTAATACGTGCTGGGTGAATAAAATTAATTGAAATAGTGTGTTTGCTGTATCTGTTTTAATATATTCTTATAAGATTATTTTACAGAAAGGTCGGATATGTTGAAATATTAAATTATGTCTTACTCTGTATATATGTATAATGTTTCTCTCTTATTACAAAATTCTTAAAACTTAATTTAATTTTTTCAATTTAAAAGAAAAGTTTTTAAATTATATATCTTTTTAAAAAAATAATAATTAATTTTAAAAAATAGATAATATTGTAGATTTATAAATTTATCATGACAAAAATGGTAACGAGTTGGTATCATCAATATCGTGTTCTCAATATTGAATTAACATGCATCATTGCTTTTTCAAAATAATACTAAAATAAAATTTTAATATGTACTTTATTGCTCAGCAGATCTTTATACGAATGTTATTGCCGACTGTAGCATTCTTTATGAAAATTGTTCTCTGTAAATACATGTCGCATACACGAACGCGCAGTTGGAAATGATCGATAAGTTTCCACTTATCTGTAAGGGCACGTTAATAGCACTTACCCACAGTTACGTTGTTATAAATATAACTATGACAGGTATGGATAACTAAGTTCATGCAAGTTGTTCATTCTATTTCACTTTCTTATATCGATAACAAGCGATAACAAAAGTTGTGCGACAACTATATCGTTATAAAGCACGAGTCGCACGCCGCTGTATTCTTGATGACGGAACAATCGATATTTACTACTAATAATAACTCTACCAAGTGAATATTTTAGTTATTAATTCAAGTAATTTGTACGGCAACTTTGTAAATGCGATTTATGAAAAATTATCTCAGATTGGATATATTATAATAGTATTCGAACGCACGATTCTTGATAAACTGCTCCTTTAATTTTATCGCGCGATAATGAATCTATTTAATAATCTCTCAGTTTTTTTTGCCAAAGTTTCTCAATGTTCGAGGGTACAGTGGTCGATACCGCGTTAATAACTTTAAGTGCGCCAAATTTTTACGGATCTTCTCTCTCCTTAATTTCTCTCCGTTTAATTTATTATTCATGAAAAGCATGAAAACTCTTAGCGAGGACGTGAAGTTTAACCTGTCTCTCTGTCGTCGGGCGTTCATAAGTACGTACCTACGTACTTCTCGGTCCGTTGACTTTAGATCGATACTCGAAGCACGCCTTGCGCGCAGAAACGAGACACGAACAGGCAAATAGCGAGCGATCGATTCGTAAGAGAACTCAATAATTTTCTCTAAACTGAGATGGCGGTCGGACATCAAACAGACATCACACTGTCTCTGGCGGATTCTTCGAAGTGATGTTTCATTTCTCACATGTTGTACGTTCCGAGGTGATAGCTACTTTGTAACAACCGGCTCTCCAACGTTATTTTTAAACGTTCACGCGGGTCCATGCTTCGCGGAACCAGTTTCAGTTAGTTTAGCTTGCATTCGACTCGACTATGCCCACTTTTCTCCTCGGTAATCGATCAAATCTTCGGCGAAATTGCATTTCCCTGCGCCCGTCAATGGTGAAAGGTAACCGATGCGAGCTTCTCATTTGCATTCCCGCCTAATGGCGTTCCGAAAAAGGTCCTCGCAACGCTCCCGCTTTGCATAAGCTAATACGCGAACGAGTACACACGGGCGGCGATGCTTTACGAGAATAATTCCGAATTTGAATAAAAAGTGCCGACGAAATGAATGCGAATTTCTACCCTTACTTCTCTTTATCGGGGTCGCAAAAGTTTCG